CCTTCCGCCTCCCCCCCGCCCCCCTCCAACTTCTCGCGACTCCTTTGTCCCCGCAGCTTGTCACCGATCCTTGAGTCCCTGTCCCCTTCCCACCTACAACTCCGCCTCCCCGGTCCCTGTTAGTGCCAGGAAACACCTGCTGCGGGCAGCATGCAAGGAAGGGATGGAAAAGCCTAACTGTGCTTCCTACTAAGCTCATCCCTCTAACCTTGTCCCGCCATTTATAAATGAGTGACGAGACTCCAGATAGCTTATACCACTTCTTTTGTGAGAGGGGACGCTCATGTCGAAGAAATTAAAGCCAAAATGACAAGCTGACGTCGCCCCTCTTTGCTGCCTTCTTAGTGGCAGTACTATTACAGTTGAGAGGCCAGAACATGACATCCATTATTACGTTGCTGCATTCAGCCTCGCAAATGCGGCATTAGTTGAGATGTCCTCCAGTTTCTGGCATTTAGGATTCACTTATCCCTCCAAGAGCAATAATTGAGTTTTATCTACTTTGAAAGATCCTAATGAAATGTTTCTGAAATTTTAATAAGTATTAGAATCACCTGGGCATCTAGTTAAAATGTAGATGCTGGTTTAGTAAGCATAGGTGGGACCTGAGATTCATTTCTGGCTAACTCACAGGTAATGTTGAAGTTACTTTAAAAGTAACTGATCTCTTCTCCATACACATACCTTTATTTATCTATTTTTAAAATTCTATTAGTTATTCCTGCTCTTTGGAACATTTTCAAATATTGCAAAAAGTAGGATGTAAAATGACACTTATCTCAGAAATCACTGTTAACATTTTGATGTATATTCTTACAGGTTAGTTCATAAATGTATAATTTACATATATCATGCACCTATTTTTATTATACAGTTAACTGAGTTTTAACAAACATATGCATCCATTTAGTCACCATTACATTCAAGATATAAAATATTTCTATCATTTGAAAAACCTTTCTTGGACCCAATCCCATTCAATCTTTTAGCCCATATCTGAGATTTCACATAAATGGAATATGCAATATACACGTAGACGTTTTGCATATGGCATAATATTTTTTGAGATTCGTTCATATTGTTGTATGAAACAGTGGTCATTCCTTAAAATCCCATAAAAATGATACTTTCATAATAATACTGGGTATCATTCCATTGCATGGACCTTTTAAAGGGTAAATACATTTCTATAAAGAAAAAGGGAGCCGGGCTCGGTGGCTCAGCCTGTAATCCCGCGCCTTTGGGAGGCTGAG